AAGCCAGAAACGTAGCATATCAGTTACAAAGTGCAAACAGTTGAGTTATATCCATTTAGTATCTTTTTTTATGGGATAAAATGAAATGATTTATCAGTCTTGAAGGACTATAGTATTTAGTAAGCATCAAGCATCATTATAAAACCAATTTACTTCTACAGAATGTTCAGGCGGAATTCAAGTTTGAAATGTTACAACTAGTAGTATTTACTTATTTGCTGCAATTCAGTTGTATTGCAACATGTTCTCAGTATATGGAATTGATCATTCACTTTCTTAAGGCTAAATACTTCTAGCGCTATTCATTTTTCTTTATTCCTTGCATTCTTATTTCAGTTGTATTCATCTGTTCTCTGTTATAAATAGAGATACAAAGGCTCGCCTATGACTGTTAAGTGACAAAAAGTCATTAACTTTTTTTAACCTCATCCCTACAGTACTGTTACACTAGTCATGGAAACAAATCTCCAGCCAAACTATTAAAATTAAAATATAATTTTCTATAAAATTATTAAAAAACTGAAAGGTGYTTAACTTGAGGATGTTATTGTCCTAGGGTCAAATGATTGATTTCCCCGTGCTTTATTTTACGCACACTATCCTTAGGTAGCAGTTTCCTATCCTTAATRAAATTATTAGGAATCGCTTTGGTTAATACGACTCAGTGCTGCTTAAGTAATCTTTATTCCAGCAGTTTCCTATAACATAAGTAAACTACTTTGACTTAAAGCATCATTTCCCAYGTGGATTTGCACGCAAGTTCAGTCAGTCATAGTTAAGGATGCTCCTTATTAAGACTTACCCAAATCCTCAAATAAAAAAGTATGGCGAACGTTTTGAAAAAATTAGGGAGAAGGTCCAATGGATTTAGTCAAGAAACATCCTTCGTTTATATATATATATATATATATTTCCATTGATTTACCAAAAATCCCAACTTGAATATCATTAATTAAAGCTGATTTTGAAATAATATTAAATAATTTTCAGTGGTCAATGACTGACAGACTGCAAACATTGTTGGAACATCGTTCACCATTGTTCACCAACAAATAAGGCATATCCAAAGGATCCAACTTTTAGACGAAGGGCCCGATTACCTTAGTGATCATTGGTTCTAATCAGACTGCAATTAGCGAACAAATCGATCCTTCCTACCAAGGATGTACCCATTAAGCTTTACCCGATTTTAACAACATTTTCAAAGCTTAATTGACTTATGAATTTCCACTTGAAATTTCTATAAATAAAATCATTTTTGGGTGGAGCTTGAGAAACAAACGAGCAGGCTTAAAAAAAGCTAAATACCTTACTGGATACTGAATACAGTTTATCATTTCGATGCATTACCAAGATTTAATTTTAAGACATGATTTAAAAAACGTTTCCTATGTTTATCATCATATAGAGAGAGATCAAGAAATGCATTGACAATTTGATTTTGCCTGGTTGTTGAAAACRAGCAGTCTTTAAAAAAATTCTGAGTTCTTTTTATAAATTCATTACATTTACGAGCTTTTTTTTTTCCATAACGACTCCATGTTATCGTTGATGCACTTTTCCAATAATCTCTTACATTGATACAGTAATTGGCCTTAGATGTTGCGGTTTCTGTCTCAGAACATGTATTTATTACTGGATTTTTTTCCCCCGTATTTTTTGCTCGAGGCAAAGTTAGATAAATAAATAAATACTGAAATGAAAGAACATAAGACTTCATTTTTTGGTAATATTTCTACTCCGGAAGTCCATAAATTATACATTAATTTGTGAGAGATATACCTCCATTTGCTGTTAGAAGGGTCACTGATAAGCATAACAGGGCTTGAGAACTGAACCACAAATACACCAGTCTTATTCAAATACAAACAGGAAAAAAAGAAAATGATGGTTGTTTTGTTTGTTCTATATCTGTCGTTCAGGTGTGCCTCATGACGCACGAGTTTACTCACACATCTGTCAAACCCTTGTTATTTTTGGTAAATKTTTTTAAATTCTGAGCTATTTTTCTTTCATATTTCCTTTTCGATTTATATTTTTAGATCTTGCAATCTTAGCTGAATTACCCTTCTTTATCGCAGTTMAACTTCAAAAGTAAAGGGTGTTGCCTTCGCTGATTTTTACCACTAATTGCCTGGAAGTTCGTYGATAACAGTGATCAGGAACATAGTATTTATCGAAGAAATACATGCTGCACTTTGGTCACACCTTGTAATTTGTCTAAATCTATTTATTTCATGCAATCCTTAATTTTTTTCCTGTGATGGCGGATAGAAGTTTAGCTTATCTGATAAATGGTGAAGGTGGCACTGATTTAAAAACGTTGATCTTTAGATGTTCCTTAAAATTGTTCCTGTGTTGGATTCAACTGTGACTTAACTGCTAAAATGTTGAAGATGGCATTAAAGAAAGCTGATCTCTTGATTTTCCTTACTATCTAGCAGCATGCGCAACTTTGATATAAATAGTATAAACTGCACAAATTTGTGATACGTGGTTCTAAACTTTTAAAATAATCTTTTATGCATTACTGAAAAATTAAGATTTTTTACGGAAACTAGTTTTGTCTTCATAGACTTTTCAATCCYTAAACATATTTTGATTCTTTTAATATCTGTTAGTTCATTTTTTTCCTAAATATGACAATTTTTTTCGAGTTAAAGTACTGTATTTCATGAAAACCTTCTACTGGTGCGATTCTCTTCGTCTGTCTTTCTTCTCTTGGGCCAATCTTCGTACTCCCTGCCTTTAGACTCAAGGGATAAGTGGTGATCGGTCGGTATTAACACCTCTCCACAATGTTTTTTTCAGTGTGGAAAAATTTGTAAATAGAGAACAATGGGAATAATTGGTGTCTATATGTTAACATTTTCACTTGGTAGATGCTATGTTATAGACRCTATTATAACATTGCGAAGCATCAATATAGGATGCCATAAAACGGGTTACCCCTGCATGAGGTCAAAACCGTTAAAAAATGCAGRCCTTTACTAACAGCTGTAAAATAATTTGTTTTGGAATTTATTTATTTTTAATTAACATGTGTCTTCAACCTAATATTTTATCGTGTCAAGCATGCATATACGGCATATACTTTATTTAGCATCACATACAAATTACACATTGATATAGTAGTAGGAGTCTAATTTGCAGCTGCATAAGTTGCTTGATATACTGCGAGGATCAGCTCAATTTGATACATTAAAACCCAGTACTTGCAAATATATAGTTTATATATATTCTCATTGGCGTTCAGATGTTGTTGATGGCCTATACCCCACGAGGGGTGTACAGGCTTAGGAGGAGGTGGAGGAGGATATATTCTCACATGTGTACATTGAATGTTCATAACGAATTAACATATTTTCAGTTGCACGCTTTTTACAATAAATATAAAAGCTTTTAGACTAAGCTTTAATATTCATTACATGAAATGTACATTTTATTACGTYGAAGAAAAGTTATTTTTTTGAAAAACTATTCTTTTTATTGTCCGTTATGACGTTAATTTGTAACAGACTATCTTTTCCAACCTTTATAATTTTCATTTTTGACTTTTGTTCCAGCAGTACGAACCAATCTGAATGGAAACAGCACGCATGGAAAATGAAAGGTTAAAATGAAGCTCATCCMAGTGTTCCCAAAGTAAGCTAATTCACAAACAAACAAACACATTATTTCAAAAGTGGCAACTTTGTTGACAATGAATTAATCATAGCATCTTAACCAAGTCGTAACATTCCCAAAGGTCATTTTGTTCTACTTCGCACCTCAAGCCATTTATGTCACTGCCTYGTGGTCTGGATTCCATTACAAGGTCGTTTACAAACACTCAAGGTCTATATCCGAGTTGTCGCCCCATAATGTGTGAGAATATTCCGAAAAATCGTCTTTACACGTCATGAATTGATGAACCATACGTCACCAGGGACCACCCTAGGGRTCAACCCTGTTAAGTTGTTTCATGATAGCCGATAATCGTGGGAATCGATTGTAAAAGCCAAGCTGAACACGTGTTGTTGCGTGTACCTCGTGTACCTCGTGTGTCTGGATGAGACGTCTAGTAGACTCGTTTCGTGGTTCGAGTGCTTGTTATCTGGGCAGCTCCTAGCCCGTGAGAATCTTTTAATCTCATTAAGGGAAGTAGGTCGATTTTAGGCTCGTTTAGAGGCGAGCTGTGTGGGCCAATTGTATACAAAACCACACGAAATAATTTGATATGGACCTAGCCCAATCCATTATGAATCGGTCAGTCATTTGAAACTTCTCTTTGGGTGGGGCATCCGCTATCACGTTAATGGACTGGTAACTTATTGAACAAAGGACTGGGTTCTAGTGGGTGGAGTTCTTTTCAGTACTCTTTTAAGACTCTAAGTGGAAGACAAGCTGCAATAGAAACGCTTACTGAGCTAAGTATAATTTAGACTGAAGGTCTATTTTTTTTTTTCTTTCTTTTTTCTAAGTGACAGTGAGTATTTTACCACGATTATTTTTCTGCGAATGTAAGAAATGGGAAGCTTTCGACTTTCGGGGATAAACAGAGTTTAATCGAGGAAAGATCTAAGCGGCGAAGAACTCAGAGAGAAAAACTTTTTCGATCAAAAGGTTATACCATGCAAAAAGTAAAAAAAAAAATAATTGTACCTTTTGGTTGGAAAGAAACATGATTTCGAACTTCTCTTTTATTTGGCTTTTCTTAGTCTATTTTTCTAGGTGTGTTATAGTAATAGAGTATGATCATAGTACTGGGTATTTTTATATCATATTAGCATGTCGTGGCATGAGTATGGCCTGGTATA